ATATAATAAGACCATATTCTTACTATATGATCTAGCAATCATGCTTCTTGGCATTTACCCAAAGAAGTTGAAAAATCACATCTTCACAAAAGCCTGAACATCAATGTTTATAGCAGCTTCATTCATAACTGCTCAAACTTGGAAATAACCAAGATGTCCTTTGGGAGATGAGTGGATAAGTCAACTGTGACACATCCAGACAATGGAATATTGTTTAGGGAATAAAAAGAAATGACCTATCAAACCATGAAAAAACATGAAGGGGCCTTAAATTCCTATTACTGAATGAAAGAAGCCAATCTGAAAAGGCAACATACTGTGTGATTCCAACCATAAGGCATTCTGGAAAAAAGCAAAACTATGAAGACAATAAAAAGATTAGTAGTCACAAGGGGTTGTGTGAAGAGGGAGATGAATACATGAAGCACAGGGAATTTTTTAGGACAGTGAAACTATTTTTTAAAATATATTTTATTGATTTTTTACAAAGAGGAAGGGAGAGGGATAGAGAGTTAGAAACATCGATGAGAGAGAAACATCGATCAGCTGCCTCCTGCACACCCCTCACTGGGGATGTGCCCGCAGCCAAGGTACATGCCCTTAACCAGAATCGAACCTGGGACCTTTCATGCTCTATCCACTGAGCCAAACCGGTTTCGGCATGAAACTATTTTGTATGGCCCTATAATGGTGGATACATGGCATTATACAGTTGTCCAACGCCATAGAATGTATGACACAAGAGTGAACCCTATGGACTTTGGGTGATAATGATGTGTCCTGTAGGTTCAACAATTGCAACAAATGTACCACTCTTGTGGGGGATGTTGATAATGGGTAGAGGGTCATGCATGTGTGAAAGCAGAGGCTATACGGGAAATCTCTGTACCTTCCTCTGATACTATGAACATAAAACTGCTCTGAAAAATAAATATTAAAATAATCAAAATAGGAACTAGCTCTAGTATTTATTAACTATATGTCTAAGCTCAACTAGCATAGACAAGTTGGCTTATCTAAGTATTAATAAAATAAAACCTCTAATACTTCACAGGGTTTTTATTTTCTAACAGGAAAAAATAAATTAAAAAATTAAAATAACACTTTAATATAATCAGTCCTCAGTATAAGGAATTTAAATTAGAAAAAGTAAATCATTTGGAGTGTGCTTAGAACATTATATTTACATATTTTACAGATTTACTTCTTTGTTATTTCTCCCCATTATTAAAATAAGCATCATATCGATAATTTACTACAATATAAGATTATATTTTTTTAAAAATTTAAATCTCACAACTTAAGAAAATTTCAAATAATTGAGTGTAAAGACTTGTTCAGATCATTTGAATAAATGAGGTCCAGCTAAAATATATAAAACCTACGTCACTCAATAGTTACATGCTTTATGCCCGTACAAATAGGAAGCAATATACCAAAGTGCTGAGGTCACTAATAAAATAGCCCACATAAGTAACAGAGAAGTTATGGGAAATGAGGTTTCACAATGTTCTTTTTTGTTTTCTAAATATAGATTTCAGAGAGGAAGGGAGGGAGGGAACAAGGAAGGGAAAGAACGAGAGATAATTAGCAATGATGAGAGAAAATCATTGATTAGCTGCCTCCTGCATACCCCTACACTGGAATTGAGCCCACAACCAAGGCATATGCCCTGACCAGGAATTGAACCATGACCTCCTGGTCCATAGGTCAATGCTCAACCACTGAGCCACACTGGCCAGGCCACAATGCTCTTTTAAAGCTGTATTCTTTCTGCAGAGAGTCCCTTTGCATAGTAAGTATGTAAGGATAATTCTTACTTCCAAAGAAATGATAGTCTTTCACATTTTTCTAGTACCATAAAGCTTTCACTTCCCCATTTTTGATAGAAGCATCAGTATAAGATACTTCACTTTCTTCTTAACTTTGCAAGAAGTGTACATGAGGTGCAACTGATAGCTTTTGTCTGAGAAACATGAGAGAGAGGTGAGATGATGGCACACTAGAGAATAAATGCTACCCTAAAGAGGACCCTGCTCTAGCCAGTGGTTGCTATGCAAAGAGTTTGAGAGTCAGTGTTGATAGGATGTCTGATTTCATAAAAGCCATAAATCCATACTTTAGGCAATTTTTTTTCTAATTTTAAAAATAAGTAACTAATTCAAAAATTTGTAAACACAGATTAAACCTTCAGCTTGTTGATTTGCAATCTCTGAAATAGATCATGCTCTAGACTCAGAGATTTTGAGTCAGAATCTGTGTGGTAATCTTACCTTTACAACTTAAAAAACAGTAAAATCTTGGGCAAGCATTTCATTCACTAATTTAAAAAGTTGTAATAATGTCTTCATCAGGTTGATGATTTTTCTTAATATTTTATATAAAAATTTTTAAACACAAAATAAAAGTTTGAAGACTTTTACTACTATGCACAACCTAGATTCCACTATGAACGTGTTACTACACTTACTGTACAGGTTACCTATCCATCTATCAATAAACCATCCATCTTTCTTTTAGATCAGTTTCAAAGCAGTTACAGACATCAGTGAACCTCCTCCTAATGACTACTTTGAGGAATAAATGGGATGATGCACAGAAAGCATCAAGCACAATGTCTAACACATGGATAAACATTAAAGTCATAATAGCCCCCTTCTCTATATGTTTACTACGTATAGCTTGAATCTCATTGGATTCACTAAGTGGTTTTTATATAGGAAAAGGTAAATTTCTATAGTAACTCTTCATCAAAACCTTGATGACCCCTATCCTCAAATTGTGTTCAGATTCAGACTTCTGGCTCCAGCCAAAATAGGATATTCCCATATCTTTCTAATTTTAACCTCTTAATTAAAAATAAAGTTAGCCCAGCTCAGTGGTTGAGCATCGACCTATGAATCAGCAAATCATGGTTCCATTACTGGTCAGGGCACATGCCCAGGTAGTGGGCTTGATCCCCAGTTGGAGGACATACGAGAGGCAGCCGATCAATGATTTTCTCTCATCATCGCGCTCTCTCTCTCTCTCTCTCTCTCTCTCTCTCTCTCTCTCTCTCTCTTTCCCTTCCTCTTTGAAATCAATAAAAATATATTTTAAAGAACAAAAAAACATTAAAAAAAAAAAAAAAAAAGAAGAAGAGCCTGCTCCTAAACCAAAAACCTGGGGTAAGGGTGGGCTAATAGAATAGGGAAACTTTTGATAATAGTTGCCCAACTCCAGCCAAACACCAAAGAGAAAAGTATCCCCTGATCCTTACAGTGCTAGTACACTATACAATAGCTAGAGTTCTGACCACACCAGAGACAGCCTGGAGAGGCAGTTATGAGATGCCCCCACCCCCTCCTCTGGATGGTGTCATAAGCCAAACAGAGCTGAACTTGCACCCCCATCAGGCAGCAGAGAGGCAGAACTAGGTGGTGTGAAGGTATTCCTAGATGAGATTAACATCTGAATTAGTATATGGACTGAAGTAGATTGCCCTGTTTAATTTGGGTGACCCCAACCAACTCATAGAGGGCCTGAATAGAACAAAAAAAGCATATTACTAAGAAATATTCTCTTTCTCACTGTCTTTGAGCTGGGACATTGCTCTCCTGACTTCAGACTGGGACTTGAACTGAAACCTCCATCATCAGCTCCCTTGGGGCTCCAACTTGCCACCTGTAGATCCTGGGACTTTTAAGCATCCATGGTTGCATGAGCCAATTCCAATAAAATTCCTTATATCTCCTACTGGTTCTGTTTCTCTGGAAAACCCTAACTCGTGCATTCCTACTAACCACAAGAAGCTGAAGAAGCTGGATTCTGCCAACAGCCTGAATGATATGGAAGTGGGCTTTCCCCAAGCTTCCTAATAGAGCTTGGCCCGGCTGACACATTGATTTGGCCTTGTGAAATTCCAAAAAGATGACTTAGACAAGCAATCAGATTTCTGACTTACAGGGTTTATTCAGAAAGCAACCAATCAATGTGTTTATCTCACATTGATGTTTCTATAAATATCTTTCCCTCTCTCTCCCACCCTCTCTAAAAATCAATGGGAAAATATCCTGAGGTGAGGATTAACAACAAAACAAAAATAACAAAAGGCACATTGGTCAAACCGAAGGCTTGCAGAATATATTTCTTAAAACTACTTACTTAGAAAATAGAACTAGATGCCTTCTATGATCCCTTACAATCTTATATTCCATAATTTTCTGTCCTCTCCACAATCTCAGTGAACTGTCAGTTCAAAATATGATATTTTATCTTTTTATTGATGACCTCAAATCTGCATGTAAGGACCCAAGTTCTATCCTTTGTGTCTGACTGCTTCCAAACATCTCCACATGCTTGTGCCAACATTACCTGAAACTGAAACTTGTAAAAATCATATTCATCTTGGGCTTCACTACCTTTCCCCTTTTGTGATTTATTTAAATGATCTTCCTCCCCTCCTCCCCCAACATCTGGGTCTTTGTCCATCACCATTGTTTAGGCTGTCACTGCCTGGAACCTGGATCATTTGGTCAGCATCCTAACCGATTTTCCTGCCTCCCATCATAATTATTCTTGGTACCTCAACAGCTTCCAACAAGTCCCTACTACCTACAGAGTAAATTTTAATGAACTCTGTAAGATCTTTGATGTCTGGCCTTGTCAGTCTAGTTTCTTGCTCCCCAAGTTTTCTCTCTTTTTGGATACATCCATCCTACCAAGCACTATTTGGTGTGAATACAAAAACAGACATTTTAAACAATGGCAGAGTGAAAGTAAGGCTAGTTTAAGGAAATGTTTTGGAATTAAGAAATGGCTTTGCATGGTATTTTGGCACTTATTTCAGTGAGGAATTCAATACTTCCCCTGATAATAACATCTTTCTTGATGTGCAGCTCTGTCTTTCTTTGGGAAGCAAAGTAAGTGAATTGCTGGTATCTCCTATCTCAGTGAAAGTAAAAGCCCTCTAAGTCTTGATCGGATCACCTACAAGATGTGTTCTCTGCTTGTTCCTGCAGGGAGCCCCGCAAGGTGGTGCTGCACAAAGGTTCCACCGGCCTGGGCTTCAACATTGTGGGCGGGGAAGACGGAGAAGGTATTTTTGTATCCTTCATTCTGGCCGGTGGACCAGCAGACCTGAGTGGAGAGCTCCAGAGAGGAGACCAGATCCTATCTGTGAGTATTTCTCTCTAATTTTCATTCCTACCATTCAAGGGGGGGAAAAATGACTTTCAATTATGAGTCCAAAAGCACCTTAATTACAAAAGAAAGTGATGAGAGCATTATGGCTTCAGGTGCATGCTACAGTTTAAATGGTGTTCAGGTGCTTGATGTTTGTTTCTTCCTTAGATACAGGTAAAGGGGCTAGTATTTTTATTTGGATTTTCTTAGAATATGTGCATCCAATTGAACATTGAGAAACATGCCTCTTTAAGGTAAGAATATTTTTAATGCTTTTTTTTTTTTTACAAATCCAGGATTCTATTCTAAAAACTGCACCTTTATAATATGTATAGTTTTGTGCATACATCTATGCAAGAAAACACATAACATAATGCTATCCACAATTTGGTGATATTGATGTGTCAACATCACCGTTTACCTAAATGCAAGAATTTCCAACAACAAGTTATTGAACACTCATTATTTACCAAGAATATTATGAAAATAATTTTTAATTCTCACAATTACCCTGAAAGGTATTGCCCCATGTTCAGATGAAGAGAATAAGATTCAGAGAGGTTAAATAACTTGTCAAAGTTTATGTAACTTGAGAGAGTCAAGGGTTTAAACATTCAGCTCTAATACCCATTACATATTCCCTCTCTCCTTTGCCACTTTCTTCGTTTCTTTTCTTTCTCTTTCCTTTCTTCCTCCTTTCTTCTCCGCGTCCTTTCTTTTACTCAAATATTTAATGACTGCTTCTTTCCACTACATTAACCTATCTCCCTGGTACAAGCTTTATGATAGGCAGTTAAATCCATTGTAAGTATTTATGTCTACACTGAAATGTTGGTACTCATGCAATTAATAATCAGGAATTACATAAGAAGGAGCCTACTTCTTATGACTGAGGTTATGGTTCATAACTCAGTGAAGCACTCAGTGTGTTTTTTTTATCATGTACTTAGAAAAATTTGCTTTTGTTTTATAGTTATAGCTTATAGCTAGAATTTTCTAAGCAACCTTATATTTGTTAGCCGTTATTCCATCCTCCCGCCCAAACACACACATGACTTACCTATATAACATAGTCAACTGACCTGAGCAAAGTGTTCAGTGATCTTGCCTTATGTGTCATATGGTTCTCCTACACATGTGTACCTTTGTTCAGTCATCAGCTAGCAGGTGTCTGGGAGGATTGAGTATGGAAGGAATAGGAAATTATATTGTTCTACCATCCAAGAGCTGAACATCACTCCTTCAACTACTTCTCCCATCTACTTATTCTATACTTAAATGATATATAAGATATAATGATAAGATTTAATATACAGTATTAAACCTTAATGCCTATATTAATTTACATCCTTCTTTCTGTACTAAGTGGAAAAAGCTCCATGAAAGCAAATTCTCTATGTTATATGAGTTTGTATCCTTGACATTTAGCAAAGTGCCTGGTGCTTAGCAGTTTCTCAAAAAAATGTTTATTGAATGAAAAGGTTTTGAATAAATATAATGATGCTTTAAAAAGTCACTGTAGCCTGAGAGATGAACTCTAAAATTCTATCTAGGACATACTAATATATCCTCATTTTCCTGGCTCAAAATCTGTAGAATGAGAATCCACTTATCCTTTTATTACAGTCAGCATTCACATCATCATAGTGTTTTCCCAGATACAAAGCATTTTCACATGCATTAATTTGGAGGATTCTAAAAGAAATTCTAAGGATCAAGAAAGGTTATTGTTACTCTCACTTTCTACATCAGGGAAAGGGGATTGGGAAAGGCTACATTATTTGTTCAAAACTCTGCAGCTCCTGAATGTGATGTTGAACTCAAAATGAGGTCTTCTGACCCCAAATCAGTGTGTCTTTTTTCTCCCTACAACACAATCTCTCTTCAAAACCTGTCAATGGTTTCGTTCAGCCCTTCTTAGTACACACTGCTCTGTGTACACACTGCTCTGTGTACACACCACACTCAGGAGCACACAGAACTAGACAGAGCTAATATTTATTTGGTACTTTTGAGTCAGTCAACTATTATAACTAATTTAACTTTATAACAAACAGCCCCATGTCTTAGTATGCTCATTTTAATAATGAAGAAAACTGAGGCACAGAGATGTCATTAGACTACTCAACTCTGTTTAAATGAGAAATCCCTTAAGCTTCGGGTTTTATTCATTTTAATCTCAATGATGTGGTAGAAAAAGGGATGAGCTAATAATCTTCTATGGCTCATTAAAGAAAACTCACAAGTATTTTTACTTTCAAAAGTAGTTGTACTCATTTAAATATTATGGCCAGGACCACATAAGGCAACCAATTGGAATTATATAGTCTTTTTAGAGATATAGTTCACAGAACAAAGCAATCTCTGAAATTCAGATATATCTTTTTATATGTACAATATTTGTAAGAAATAGTTCAATGATGAAACTGTTACCTGCCCTTTTGTAAGTAGAAAGGAAAAGGAGACAGTTCTCCTTTTCAATTTTGTGAAAATTATTTAAACTGTGGCTGGGCAACAGCTAGTTTCAAGGCTCGGTATTGGAATTTCATTGGTTAACACTTTGAGAAGAGAATAAACAGGTTTGAGAAGCTCAAACATTACAATATGAAAATAAAACTGTCAGAATAGAATGATTAACAATGAAATGTGAAGGAAGAATATTCTGCATCTATACACTGGACATATCAGGACAAGATATGCCTTCCTGGAAAATACAAGAACAAAAACTATGAATAGTAAATCAACTTAAATAAAAATTCAATACATATTGCTAGGTCATATAAGGTTAATTGCAAAAAAGTTATGCTAACAGTAATGTAATATAGAGAAGAAAAATAGAATCCCCTGGGAAGAGAACTGGAAGGTAGGTCTCTACTCTCAATTAGTCTTTATGGAGAATAGACTTATATAATAGGCAATTACCTTTCTGATCAGGAGCATAATGTCCATTTCTATTTTCCAGAAGTATTTTCCCACACAAATTATAGAATCTTCCTAGTTTATTTATTTTACTAATGGCTTAACTATGTGTCAGGTTCTGAGATAAACATCCTCAAAATGTTCACAGCCTAATAGCAGATATGTCAATATAGCTAATATGTGCATAAGTACAGATAGAAATAGAAGAGATAGAGATAGATAGAGATGATAGAGATAAAGATAGAGATAGAGATAGAGATAGAGATAGAGATAGAGATAGAGATAGAGATATGTGGATATAGCATACTGAGGAAAGAGAGGAAACAAAATGCTTAGCATTTCATATTTCTACCAACAACTCTGCATTAAGAATGTGCCAGATGCTTTTTTAAAGAGTGTCAGGTAACCTTGTATAAAGAGGACCTCTCGAGGTAGTTTGAGCCATTTCTTCTTTGAGACAGAGCTTGGCCTAGATCTGCATTTCCCAAAATATGAAACAGCAGGATTGCATTAGAGTGCTATTAAGAGAAAGGGTACCCTGGTACCAAGTTTCTTCGCTGAAAAACTTCTCAATTACATCTGTTACCAGTGTTCATTGGGAATCTCCGTAGAGGGAGATAAAGTTTATAATTCCTCTCAAACAGATATGACCACCAAACCCTCACTAAGGAGCACCTCTCAGGACACCAGCAGTGGGAAATGTTTTATTTGTATAGTTCCCCTAACAGACTGTTTTCCTACAGGGTAGTCGGCATACTTGCCTCTAAAGAAAAGGCGATCAACTGTCAAACAATAAGGACAAATATGTAACACCTTAATCAATAAAGAAATTTTAAAAAATTAAGAAGGGCAAAAATAAAGAGATTAATTAAATAAAGAACTACTATGCTGCATGAAGAGTTACATGCATACTATGTAATTTTGTATTGATGTTTAAGCAATTTAAAAAATGTATTGATTGTTGAGAGAAAGAGAGAGATTTATTGTTCCACATGTTTATGCATTCTTTGGTTGATTGGTGTATTATACCTTGACCAGGGATCAATTCCACAACCTTAGAGTATCAGGACAATGTTCTAATTAATTGAGCTATCTGGCCAGGTCTATTAAATAAATAAATAAATAAATAAATAAAATAAAGAAAAGGCAATCAGCTTTCTACTCTGTGTTAAGATTATGGGTGCCATCTAGTGTTCATGTATTGTCGGAGATGGAGCTTCCTCCCTTGTAGAGATTTATCCCCCATGCTCCCGCCCACCAGAGTTAAGGAACTAAAGTAGCTAAGATACTGAGAGATAAATAAATTATCGCTGGAGGCTACTACATTCCATGCTTGTATTGTGAGTGGTCTTTTCTGTCTAAATTCTCCTTTGTGTATTCTGATTCTCAGGGGTTTGTTGTAGAAAGCCTAATCCAATCATTGAACCTTTTTCTAGCTAGAGGCATTCATGAAGGAGAATTTAGGGCATTCAGCATGCAGTCGGGTTAACTGTTAACTAGTTCAGTTGTCTCCTCAGGCTTCCTTCCTGCAGAGGGAAAGATAGAAAAGCTTCTGTTATTATTTGTGTCAGTGCTGTGATATGGGGGGAAATGTGGAACAGAGCACATAGAGGTAATACCCCTGTAAGGAAATTCTTCCCTGTCTCACCAAGCGATTTTATTTATTTTTTCATCCCACAAGAAGCCATAACTTTAATGATAGAAACAGTACAAATTTCAAACCAAGTTCCAGTAGCTCTTTTGAAACACACACAAAACATATCCTCCTTTTTGATGTTTATCGATACATTGTTAATTCCATAATAGCATTTACAATATCATTACTGTTGTTCTCAGACTGCTTTTGCTTTGACACGTTTGCTTGTGACATGGCCAATTCTATGTCCTTAACTTCCACACCTGTCTCATCAATCTCTTCCTCTTCGCTCTCCTCTTCGACAGTTGGAGTCTGTGTTTTCTTGAATGTTTGAGATGGCTTCACCTTGAACTTTAAATTTCTCAGAAGCTGCTAGCTGTGCTTGCTGAGATATCTATCATCAAGCAGTTTTAGTTTCTTCATTCTTTGGGAATCCAAA